GGGGGGGGGGGGGGGGGGGGGGGGGGGGGGGGGGGGGGGGGGGGAGGGACGCTTGCTACGGAAACCCAAATGAAAAACTGCTGCTTCGGATCTCCATGTGTGCTTCTACTAACTCTGGTACGACAATCGCATGTCGGCCCCACATCACCACTATTCTCTTACGATTGCCATGGCACCTTATGACAATCATGACAAGAAGACTAGCACTTCTAGCAGTGCTACTGCAGTGGCAATGACAACAACAATCGTATAAACAAAAAAAGGGGGTGTCCGAAACTAGGGGACCCTAATATAGTGCCCTAAATAATGGGATCCTTATTCTAAGGACTCCCGAAATAAGGTACCCCCTATTTTCGGAAACTCCCACATGAACGGTTGAACTTGGCATGTGTGCTTCTTTGGAAGCTCCGGGCTTCCTGCTCATTGACGCTGATTGGGTTTAGGGTTTAGGGTTTAGGGTTTGAAGCTACAGTCCACTTGGCAGCAAACCCTGCAACACCACATCTTGGCTTGCGGAAACAAGCAGAAACCTAGCTTGTCAGCATCCTCAGCATAATCAGGATCTTCTGCCCTGCCGGCAACCAACTGGGCAAGGAGCCAGCCGTCCGTTGTTGATCTCAGCCTCCAACGATCGCTGGTTGGCTGCCGGATCCTCAACCGCAGTTAGTTTAGGGTGTAGGATTTGGTATCGAATCAGGGCTCTTACCAGAGTGTCGCGAACAACATCGTCCTGAACATCGGGGTGTGCACAGGGTTAATAGCCTGCAGGGACGATTGGAGATCAATCAAATATGAGCATCTCTCAACTTGGGGTTTCTGGCATCCACCTCATGGGTGTACTAACACGCCACTTATGGGATCTGTATTTCTCTATGCTTGATGTGACCGTCTGAGGCTTCTGTCCGGACACGCATGGTCGGGCCTTAGCAGATCTAGGACATGAAAGAAAGCGAGCGGTCATGGCCCTCACCATGCTGAAGTTGTACCTACCTCAGGACGACCGTCAGGCTCTAGCGACTCGCAAGCGTTCACAAGTCCGGGAACTACCCAGCGCTGCTGAGACAAGCTGCGAAAACTCTCGCATGATAAGCCAAAGTTCTAACGCTACAAGACCATAAGCACATCAAAACTTAATCTGCGCATTCATGGTCTTGCATTTGTATATAGACATACACATACCTATATATATACACACACATATGTATGTATATGTTGTTATTTGTTTATTTCTACATATGTGCTGGTGTTTGTTCGTTTAGTTGTTTATCTTTGGTGTAATGATGTTGTCATTTATATATGTTTATTGACTGCTTTGTATACCTGCACCTGGCTGTATGTGTAAACACGTGGTACAAAAATGTGTGTGCATGTGTATATATATATACAGATAGATTTGTGAGTGTGTATATGTATGTTCGTATGTATGTATGTATGTATGTATGTATGTATGTATGTATGTATGTGTGCGTGTATGTGAGTATGTATGTATGCATGTATGTATGTATGTATGTATGGATATATGTATATGTATGTATGTATGTATGTATGTATGTATGTATGTATGTTTGCATGTCTGTATGTGTATGTGTGTACGTCTGTATGTATGCATGTGCGTATGTATGTATGTATGTATGTATGTATGTATGCATGTATGTATGTAGGTGTGTACGTATGCACACAGACATAGAGACATACGGACAGGCCTACCTACCTACCTACCTACCTACCTACATACATACATACATACATACCTACATACATACATACATACATACATACATACATACATACACTATGTGTATATATATATATAGATGATATATATATATATATATATACGTGTGTGTGATTTCCTACACCGTAAGTTCAACCCATTAAACTCTGAGCCCACAACCCTTAACCGCGTCAGGGCTCCTGACACGACAGTACCCGAAAGCCTGTGTGTGTACATACACATACATATACATATAAGTATTTGCAACAATATATATATATATATACATCTGTACACACACATACACATACACATTATCGAGTTATAGAGTGTCTACATGCGATGCCCAGGCGCCATCGGCGCGCTGCCACCCGGGAGGCCGAGCTTGGAGAAGCCCGCGAAGTCGCCCGGAGCGCGGTCCTTCTCCTGCCTGCGCTGCTGTCTAGGACTTTAGGATTTCGGGTTGTGGGACGGTAAAAGTCCATCGGTCTATGGGTCTTTCTCCTGTGGAAGTCCTTGCTTTGTGCTTCCTCTTTATCTCCACTCCAAGTCCTAGTTGGAGGTTCCGGTTCAATTGAAGGCGCGAAGGAGCTTCGGATAGAGGGCTTGCGGGTTTCGAGATCTCCTCAAGATGCACTCTGACGAATGTTACCTCAGCCCAGATGAGGATCCTGAATGTACGAACACCCGTAGAAGGGAGGCCCGAAAAAACTCCTCGCCTCATGGCGAAAAGCTCGAGAAAGCCGATGAAACAGGCGATCTGCGCCCAGCCCTTTTTTGCGAAGGCAAGGTGCGGCTTTGAAAGGTTTAAGATTTAGGGCTTCGGGCTTAGGGCTTTGCAAGAGTGCTTTGTGGGACATTCATAAGAGTGGTGTCTACGAGTGTGCATACGGGTTCCATATATGGCCTGAGTGTTTGCGGTTTGGGATGACTGGTTCCGCTTCCATCAGGGAAGCCAACGAGCGGGCCTTCACAATTAGAACAGGGTGTTGGTGTATGCTACAGTATAGTAGAGGTGTAATATGAAGGGACTATAAGGGAATACTGCTTCGAATGATGTACACTTCTACATTATTGGAGCGGCTGATTGGCTGCTGGTGCTTGTGGATAAAAACTGTGACAGAAGGGGCCATCGAAGGGCAAGAGACTACGAGTTTCCAAAGCAGTCACGACGCCAACTCCGCACCGACTACTGCATGCGGACCGCGCTGCCTCTGCGGGCATCTTGTAGAGGGCCTGGACCCCGTTGGGGATGTCCGCGAACTTGAGGTCTGACAAGGCAGAGGCAGGCAGGGAGGCAGCAACGTTTGACTTCTTGGCGATCTGCGACCCTTTCTACACGAGGCTTTTGCTCGAAGAGGCGAGCTGACTTTCTCATGATCTCGTATCCATCCCAGAAACTCGCGCGGAATGAACGAACCTATCCGCACTCCTGGCCTGCGGAGGGGCTGCAGTAGCCGGGCAGTCGGAAGTACTCTGGAGCAATATATCCGATGGTGGCAAGCATGGCCACGCGTCCTGAGCTGTCTGAGACATGCAGGTGCAGCCTCTGCGCATGTATGTTTACTAAAATCGTCTATCTACCTATCTATCCATCTATCTCTCTGTGTTGTGTGTATATAGCTAATCTATATATATATATATATATACATACATACATACATACATACATACACACACATACATACATGTAAAGGTATCGATCGACCGTCCGAGAGTATGCTGTGGTTGGGTTCTATGTAGTTGGAGGCCCGGGCACCGTTCTTGAT